AGTTTATCTGTGTTGTCAATATCTCCGATTCATGCAGGAAAATGGTGTTATAAAACGGGCCTTTTCCGACCGACTTGGGTTATTACACCTTCAACGCCACTTCAGATTTACTTGGCATTTTAGCACTCCATCATAGAACAGACATCTGTTATTAAACCCTCTAATCAGGTAGCAGCATTCTATCCATTAGTTTATAACGACAACAACAGCAGCAGCAGCAACGTCATCGCCAACAACATCAACGACGACGACGACGGCAAGAACAACAACAACAGAAGGAGCGACGATAACAACAAAAATCGCGTCATTCCGTGTCATTGTACTCGCATTTATGCAACAATAAGCTGTTCGATTAGCCCCATGTTGGCCGCTTGCCAGTTATATCGGTTTTTCACTGCTATTACGGCACTTCTGTCATGATCCTTACTTGTTTGTTGTGCTGTGCTTGCCGCTGATGCCCATCCTCTTCGTGTTCGTTTGCGTGCATGTACATTTTTTGTGAAGGAGTCTGGAGAAAGGGAAAAACGTGCTAGCTATAACGGGCTCAGGGACTGTTGATGAACAAGAAGAAATAGTTCTTGTTTTCTTTTCAATGACTGATGAACAGAAGTCACCCCTAGAAACGTAAAAAAAATATTTATAACAGCAAATGAATTAAATGAATAAGGTTTTTTCAACGAGTTTTTCATTTTTTGTGTTTTCTTCTTACTTTTCATTTTTTTTTTTAGTCGTATTTGGAAGCAAAGAAAGCAAGTAGCGAAAAGTTATTTTTGTTTTATTTTCAGACTGACTTTTTTCTTTCTCGTTATTGTCAGCAGTGAAAATTTGCATTATGCGTTTGTGCTTGATTCTGTTGTTTGTACGTAAATAAGCCACGAAGAGTGGGAGAAAAGAAGCAGAAGTACGGGCCTATAAATTATGTGTATACACAAAAATTAAACTGCAGATTTTATTTGATTTGAGATTAGCGTTGGGAGTAAACGTCTTTTTCATTCGAAGTTGCGCCCTGTATCCAGCGTTTTATTCCCCTTGTCCTTCAACATTTATATTTGCAGAGAGCATCAATTTTTTGTCGGTTTTTTTTTTTTTTT